CACGGCGAATGACATCGCTGTCAATGCTGTCATATTTAATGTGAATTTCATTAAATCCAAAGGAACATTTGTTTATTTTTTGCTGATTATAAAAGCTGTAATTTTTCTTACATGGGTGTAAGACCTTCTAAACAAAATTGAGCTAAAATCATTGAAATTATAGTTTTATTTGTTATGATGGCTTTTTAATTCCTTTAAATTAAACAAACTTAGCTTCTGCGAAAAACGCGTTTAGCTGTATGCAATATTAAATTATAACTTTCTAGTGCATTGTGGAAAGTTTATTTACAAATTTAAAATTATTGATATTATTTGAATGAGCTCTTGACATAAGTCTACCATAATTGGGGGCCCGTAAGACTGTGGCACCCCGGCACCCCTGGCCAGTCCGCCCCTGCAGAAAATAATAATTAATATAAATTAAAGTAATATAAATAATGTGATCGTATTTTCAGAACGAAATTTTGTTTTGTTTTTGAGTTATGCGATTTTTTTGTCAAAATTGCAATTTATCTGAAAAATTTTTTTGAAAAAATTAAATATAAAGCAGATAGTTGTAATCCTTACAGTATAGCTTTTATGAGAAAAATGATTTTATAGTGGGTTGCCATTTAAAAAAATATTTTTTTTTGTATAACTCAAAAACAAAAGGAAATTTCGAAAAATGTTATTCTTTTTAAATCATCACATTTTTATAGTAGTTTATCACTCATCAATTAGTTTTTTCAAAAAATAAATAGTTTAAGCAAAAAACGTTTGGTTCCATACGTGGTATGTAAAATGTTCCAGGAAATCGATTGGCGTCTAGAGAACTGCAAATTTTGTAATATAGTTTCTTTTAACCTTAGCCTTACTAAAAAACTTGATGTAAGTTTTAGAATTAGTATTAAAAATTAAACAATTTTTGAAAGGTAGAATGTTTTTCGCTTAAGTGTTGCACTTCTAGAGACCAAGAAAAATGGATTTTTGCGTCTTGTGAGTATTCTGCTGGCAACTCGACGTTATAATGCATGAAATTGTTAAAAAAACGTTGTTGGTAATTGGAAATAAAGCTCGGTTGGCATTCGGTGTTCATTTAACAAACACGCTCAGTTGGGCGTGCAGAGTTTGACGGTCCATTCCGGTCCATGGTCAATTCTAGTATAGGGGATATAGGAGAGTGCTAACTCCGTCCCAGGAGACGAAGCTGTGGCTGCGGTCGTCGAGGACACATGCATTATTCATTCAACATTCAATTATATCTCAAATCTGCACCAAGTCAGCCAATATACGCCATAAAATCGTCTCGTCGATTCGCCCTCGGGATGATTTCTTCCCCCCTTGATGATGAAATTACTTAAAAATTGCTTTGTTTTGAGGAATCGCTTTTAATGGGGTTATAAAACTCGTTTTCTGAACACGTATTTGGGCCTCAGGAGTGCAATTCCGGTGGTCCGCTTTAACAGGATTTCACCTTAGTCTAAGTTTTATTTTTCATCATTCATCGTTTTTCCTCTTGCTCCTCTCTTTGATTATGTAGAGATTCAAAGAGTTGAGTGCTTTACTATAGACGTTACATACATTTGGGAATTTCTTCTACTACATGTTAAAATCCAGGATAATCTTCTTCACGACTCGGGGTAACACAATAATAGCAATAATTGAACCGCTCCTGTATTATCCCACATGAATACACACTGGCTTACCTAATAGTATTTACAGTGATTGAAAACATGTTCATCGACCGTGTTCCGAAGCGATTTTCCTGCAAATACACTTAATGCCATCCATACTACCACCAAAGCCAATTTTTTACAATACTCAATACAACACATCCTAAAAACAATCATTATTATTTTTACCACCAAATAGTTTACGAATGAATTATCGCACAAATGTTTACGTTACTCGTTTGTCATCGTTATTGTTACATACGTCGTTTAGTGGGATTTATTTCCGGCTTTTGAGATGGATACGAGCTCATTTTATCGCCTCTTTTTACTCTCTGGACGATTTGTGCCCCAACAAAACACTTTTAACACACCCTTATAATAGGCAAAAACAAGATTTCAAAGCTTCCAAAAAAATTAATTAAAAAAAATCACTTTTTTAGTTTTGATTTTTTTCCCAATTTGCTACTTAAATAAATGTCTGCGTCAGGAACAAAATTAAAAAAAATTTTGTTTAGAAGTTGAAGTCAAACTTTTATTTTTATTAGCAATTTTCTCGATAATTGTTTCGTAGAACAGTAATCTTTTTTGTATATGATAGACAATTAAATTCGCTTTTCAACGATCCAAAATACAATAATAATTCCGGAGTTATTGGCAATAGAACGCTCCGGGTGCCAAAAATCGACCAAAATTTCGACAAAAATCACAAAAGTTTCAATTTCAAAATTGATCCAGATCACATTTTTTTGCATTTCTAGAGGTGTTAAAGACTCAAAAAAATGCATAAAACATTATTTGGTGTTGACAAATTTTTACTTTTTTTTTCATTTTGTAAATTGCGGCTGTGTCTCAATGATATAATATTTTGACCTAAATGTATGTAAAATGTTTCGGGAAATCGATTGGCGTTAATAAAACTGCAAAATTCGTAATAGTTTTTAAGTTATAGACGTATTTAAATTTTTGAAATATTTGACTTTATCACAAATTTTCTCGATTACTGTTTATCGTAGAGCACTGAATATGTATATGGTAGAAAATTAAATTTTCTTTCCAACGGTATCAAATATAAGAAGTTATCTCCCATAAGTCCGAAGTTATTAACAATAAACCGCTCCGCGTAGCGAAAATCGCCCAAAATTTTGACAAAAATCGAAAAAATTAAAAACTTCAAAATTGTCCATTTGCACTCTAGGGGGTTTAAAAGACTTAGAAAAGCACAAAACGTTGTAAAAATGCGAAAAATTATTTTTTGAAAAAATTTGTGTGTGTTGAATATATTGAATGAAAACATTGAAGTTGTCGGCGGCGGTGGTGGCTCAGCGGCATAAGGTCCCGCTTTCCAGCAGGTAGGTCCCGAGTACGAGCCCCGGTCCAATCAGCAATTTTTCTCAAATTCAAATATAATTCAAATAATTGTCAAAAGAGGGCGGGCGCATAAGAGCGCGATCTTTAAAACATGTGCACATGTTCTAATAAGTTTAAGAGAGAAAGCGCACAATACTAACTAAAATATGCACTAATAGATGGCGGGCGTATAAGAGCGCGAACTTTAAAACAAGTATCTACAAAAGTGAAAATAGTGTAAAAGTTAATAGTAATAATATAACAAAAGGTAAGTTAAAAGTAATATAAATGAAAGGTAAGTTTTGCATTAAAAATTAACTACATTTTTTTAACTTGAATCTGAGACATGTTCAAAAACATTAGTTTTTAACGGGGGTGTTAAGGAAATTTTTCCTTTTTTTTATTTTGTAAATTGCGGCAAAACTGTATTTAAATGATATAATATTTTGAGGTAAACCTATGTAAAATGTTCCGAGGAATCGGCGTCAAGAAAACTGCAAAATTCGTAATAATTTTGAAGTTAGAGTAAAATTTATATTTTTGAAATTTTTAACTTCAGAAATTTTCTCGATGCAACAAGTTAAAATACTCTACGATGCATAGTTTTTGAAATATTGAGTAATAAAATTAAGACAAATTTTTATTTTTTAATTTTGTAAATTGCGGCAAAACTGTGTCTCAATCATACAAAATTTTGACCTAAACGTATGTAAAATGTTCCGGGGAAACGATTGGCGTCAAGAAAACTTTAAAATTCGTAATAGCTTTTAAGTTATATATCTCGATAACTATTTATCATAGAACACTGATCTTTTTTGTATATGATCGAAAATTAAATTTTCTTTCCAACGGTACCAAACATAAAAGGTTTTCACCAATAAGTCCGGAGTTATTGGCAATAGACCGCTTCGGGTACCAAAAATCAACCAAAATCTCGATAAAAATAAAAAAAAATCAACTTTAAAATTGATCTAGATAAAGTTTTTTACATTTCTAGAGGTTTTAAAAACTCAAAAAGTGCATAAAACGTTATTGGGTTAAGTTTATAAAATTAGAATTTTTTGAGTTTTTGAAGGTGAGTGGTGGGAAAATCGCAAAAATTGTCAATTTGCTTTAAGTCGCAAAAACGCTTAAAACAACAGTTTTCTAGACGTAAAATTATGCTCTGAACACAATGCAGCAAGTTAAAATACTCTACGATGAGATATTGGGTAATAAATTTAACGATAGAGCTATAATCATAAGCACTATATCAGCAATTTTTTTGATAACTAATTACTGTAGACAACAGATCATTCAAAAGAAATTTTCTACTATGTCACTTAAATGAATGTCTGCGTTAGAGATAAAATTAAAAAAAATGATTAGTTAAATTTTAATAAAATGTTTTTGTAATTGACTCTAATGTTAAAGTTTAACCGGCGCATCCACCATTTTTCTGTTACAGAAAACAACAATTTGTAATTTTATTTTATTATTTCGTAAAAAATAATGTACACAATTAATTTTTTTAATTAAATATAAATATATTTTTTTGAAAGAAAAAAATATATATTTTATTGAAACATGAACCAAAATTTTTAAATAAATAATTTGAGAGTAGAAATAGAAAGCCGATTAGACATACTGCAAATATTAGAGTTCGTCGTTAGCGACATCGGTGAAAATAAAGCCAGTAAAGTTAAATTAATGCGAAAACAGTAGTTATGTTTCATATTTTAAAGAATATTTCATCTGCGTTGGCTTTGTATTGGTCAATTATTAAGGGTTGGTGGTTGTTCTCGTCTGTCAATGCAAACGTGCTGTTACTATTGGACAAAACCGGAGGCTGAAGTGTAAACGCAACCCCGAAGGCGGAGCTTCAAAAGGGTGATTTACTGTGGAACAAATTCACTCATTTCCTTCCTAAAACCCGCACCAGACACTAGGAATCCACTCGTTCCGGTGACATCGCGATTTCAGTGCCGGAATTTATGAATTTCTAAGGTGACGAGTGACGTGATGGACCCACTGAAACCGAGACTACCCTCACCCGGACTTTCGACAAAAAAAGAAATGAACCCGAAACCGAACCACGTAAGTGGGATTTTTTCCAATGGATGGAGGGTTTGGTCATCTTCTGATATCACAAGTTTCAGGTGGGGACTATTGTGCTATATGGTATTCCAATTGTTAGCTTGGTTATTGAAAATCAAGAAAGGCTATGTCTTGCACAGATTTCCAACACTCTTTTAAAGCAATTCAGCTACAATGAGATCCATAATCGGCGCGTCGCTCTAGGCAAGTCCATTTTTCAGTTTTTTTCAGCGACAAAAAAATTATTTCTACTTTTAATAATAGTGTTAATCATGACAAGTGTAAGGAACATATTAAGGGGCTTCAAAAAAAGTTAATTTAGTAAAAATACACAATTTTTTTCGAAAAATAGATGTTACTGGCATTTCATTAGAAATTTGTATTTTTTTAAATGTTAAATTAAATCGAAAAAAATTATAAATTTAATTTTTTTTTAAAATCATTCAGTAAATCTACGAAACACATTCAAGAGCATTAAAGAAAATTTAATTTAGTAAAAAATGACAATTTTTTAATTCTAAAGTTTTGTAATAGAATTGAGATTTTTATTATTTAAACACTATTTTTGGCAAATTTTAAAATATTAAATTGAATAAAAAAAATTATAAATTTGATTTTTTTTTAAATCATTGGGGTCAAACTCAGTAAGTCTAAGAAACACATTCAAGGGTATTAAATTAAATTTAATTTAGTAAAAATTGACAATTTTTGTAATTCAAAAATTTTGTAATAGAATTGAGATTTTTATTATTTAAACACTATTTTTGGCAAATTTTAAATGTCAAATTAATCTAAAAAATTATAAATTTGAATTTTTTTTTAAATCATTGGGCTCAAACTCAGTAAGTCTAAGAAATACATTTTAAGGCATTAAATGAAATTTAATTTAGTAAAAATTGACAATTTTCGTAATTCAAAAATTTTGTAATAGAATACAGATTTTTATTATATTGCACACTATTTTTGGCATATTTTAAAAATGTTAAATCAAAAAAAGATATAAATTTGATTTTTTTTTAAATTGTTGGGGTCAATACAGTAAGTCTAAGAAACACACATTCAAGGGCATTAAATA